ATAATGTGTTTAAAGAAAACAGAAAGAAGAGTCTCTGATAGAGATTAATAATTAAGTAGCATAATGAAGGCAAGTTATATAATGAAATTAAAAATTATTAGAAAGCTATAAATCTAAAATATTAAAATATTAAAAAAGTTAAAAAATTTATCTACCATTAGATTATCTTACAATGAAATTCACATATGAGAAATAAGAATATAAGAAAAATTTAAAACAAAATGTGAAAGAATTAGGCATGATAGACAATTTTCATTTCCAACAGAACAATGATCTTAAGCATACTGTTTATAAAAATGATACATAATCTATTACATATTTTGGAAACATTTCCCTAAAACCCAGATGTCAATTCTATTGAGCATGAGCAGAAATTGGCAAAGGATATCTAAATGTGCTACAAACTGAAAAGAAGAATTAAAAGACAAAATTATAAAATTTTATTATTGAGCAGTATTTAGAAAAAAATACAATTAAAATTTGATGAATAGAATGCAACAACATTTACAAAGTATTAAAATTTAGTATATTTATTCTAAATATGTGGTATACTTTTGTGGTGTTCATGTCATCGATTATTGCAAGAACTACTTTATAAGTATTGTTGTCATTGTCAAATTTTACATGTTAGTACATCTTCAATTTTACATCTTACTACTGGCATAAAAGCATCGTGGAGTTCATAATGTAAGTTTAATTTCAAAGTATACTGTATGTATCTATATATAACAAATATTTATTAAGTATTTCTGAAATTGTTATAGATTTGCCAAAGCACAGTTAGAGTGGCAATGTCAAAGTGAAAAACAAAAAATAGAAATAGAACGTAGACATACAGAAATTATAAAACAGCTTCATACTGAACTTGCAGAATTACGTACACAAAATTTAACATATAAAGATAAATTATCTTTTCTTGAAGCAACTAATATGGAACAATTTAAACAGTTACAAAGTCTTGAAAAAGAACTTAATGTTACTCAAAGAGATTTGAATCTACTAAAAAAGCAAAATTCTAAACTAGATACAGACTACCACGAGAAAGATAAATCAGTAAACAGTTTAAAAACAAAAGTTGCTGTACTTGAACAAGAATTAAAAGATAAAGGTGTACTTATTACCAAACATACTGAGATGTTAAAAACTGTTAAAGAACAAAAACAACATCTTGAAGATCTTTTAACTGAGAAAGAAAGTCAATTACAACGTAAACAAAATTCTTTACGAAATGTAAGTGATGATTTAGTCAAAGCTCATGACATATTAACAAAATTACAAAACGAACTTGCTTCAACTAAGTCTAAATTAAAATTAAGAACTAGTATAGCACTTGAGCAAGAAAGATTATTAGATACTAAACAAAAAGAAGTTGGGCAATTAGAAGTCAAAATGGAAAATTTAATGAAAGAAGCAAAAGATGCAAACACAGAGATTGAAAATTTGAAGGAACAACTCAAAACTCAACAAAGTCAGTTAGAAGAGAAAGAAAAAATAATAAAAAATAATGATAATGGTAATTTAATATTTTTGATATATTTTACTATAAAATTTTTATATATGTAACAATTAAATACAGAGATTAATAATTTTTCTTTCATTCACTCTATACTTATTTACTTTTTCTTTCTTTTAAATAAACTTTTGTTTTATAAATATTATTGTATTATTGTGTTATTATTGTGTTACAAATACTACTTTTTTATATTTTTACAGTAATTAGTTGGTTAAATCGACGATTAGCAGACAGTCAATCTCCATTACAAAATACTACTGCAGCAGCAGCAATTACTGTACCATCTTCAATTCAGTTAACATTACCTCGAACGAATAAATTAATTAGTAATAAATATGAAACACGTACACCTGCACCTAATACAGTACAATCAAATGCGTTATCTGGATTGCCACTAAGAAATCCCATTATACAAAATCCAAATATTAATCAAACTACACGTATGACAGCACGCTCAATGGGTGTTGGTATTACTGATAATACAATAGGCATATCAACATTTACTAAAAGTGGTGTTTCAAGTACTAGTACACCTATGGAACGTATCAATTCTTTGAACAAATTGCCTGGAAATGTTGCAGGTTCTTCTTCAATGCCAGCCATTGTAGAAAATAACAATTCATCTGTACCATTAAATGGTACAAAGACAAAAAGTACAAGTATTACACTACAAGGTGGGTTAAGAAGGGCAGGTTTGTCTGATAAACCAATTTTACCATCTGCATATTTTCCTAAAACATTACATTGATTAGATATAAAACAAAAATTATCAGTGTATACATAAAGTAATAACATACATCAAAGTTGTGATGTTGCCATACAAAAGTACTACGTATAAGATAGATGATTAATATTTCAATTAATGTTGAAAAATAGTACAAAATAGTTACACAAAACAAGTAACGTTAAAACAAGTTTTAAATTTTATATTTAAAGATTTTATAAATTTATGTGCATGTATTGTAAGGAAATTTTATATATATATATTCTTCTTACACCCTTATTATACCCTTTTTAAGTGATTTAATTCAATACTTATTGCTAAAAGAAGATAGCATAAATAAAAATTTCAAAAATTTACAGTTTTACCAGCAATTTTTTCCTATATTCTCGTTATATTAATATTATTAAAAAATAATAATAATAATTTAGAAAATTATGTATTAATCATTACATGCACATAATATTTTTTAGTAACATTATGTTTAACAATATAATAAACTGAATTCAAATTTTAAAACAATTGCCATATAAGAAATTAATTAATTCGTTCTTCAAATTAGATACTGCTCATCATTATATTACGAAATTATAATCTTATTTTTCAAATAGGTACCTGGGAAAGTTTTTATTGTACAGACTAAAATATGTAGATATTATAGTTGTTACAAATTTTTTAAACTATGAAATATTAGTCTCTAGTAAACTGATTGAATGATTAAAATCAAAGAATTCAATGTGTCTTATGATAAAATTAGATTAGAGAAATTTGTTATAAATTTATATTTAGTAAAATTCATGTAATGTTGTTTTAAATATATATTTTTTATAATTTTATAAATATAATAAATAAAAGCGATTTGTATATACTTTGTATCACATATTTTTAGAAGTAGTAGTATTTAGAAGATATAACGTAATATTTTATATTTTCAGTATTTCTAGAATTGATAATGAAAATATGTAAGATGTTTGTATAAATAAAATGAATTAGATGCTTCAAATTGATTAATTTTGATAAAATAATTAAATATATTAAACACATATAAGAATAACAAATTGAAATATTTGAAATACTCTTAATATTTGTTTTTCTATAACTTTAAAAGTACGATTTATTTTGATTATATATATATATATATATATATATATATATATATCTTTTTTTAGAGACAAAATATTTCTAGTCTACAAGGTACTTGATATATGTATATGCATTTCACTTTTTTCAATATGGTGACAAAATTTCATTAAATTGCATATGTTAGTTATATACATACAAAAATGTACATAATTTATTAATTACTAAGTGTTTCATATCATGAAATTTTATTAATGTTCAAAAACATTAAAATTAAAAAGTTTTATGAGTACGCATTTAGAGTGTGTATACTCTAAATGTAAAACACAATGAATTGTTACATCATGTATAATAACAAATGTAATAATAATACATATAATAACAGTATTAAATATAATAAATATAAAATAATTTAAATGACTGATATATTTTATTACCTTTTGTACATAAAATTTTTACAAAATATATATTACATAAATACATTTCTTACATACATTTAAAAATCCATTTTTAAAAATTAAAGCTTTTAGTACATTTTTAACATATTTGAAGTGTAGAAATAAAGACTTGATATTAAATATACAGCTTATTCTATTTTAGTTATTATAAGTATATAGTGTGAAATTATATAGAAGTAATAAATAAAAATAACGAGTACATATTTACAGTATAATGTTAAAAATATACCATATTCGGTTGAAATGTATATACAGAGACAAATTTCTAATATTTACACTTTTATATATTTTCATTACTATTTTTTTAGATATTTTAAAATAAATTCAATAAGTATAACAATTATATGCAAAAATAATTTGCTAAATATAATTTTGTGAAAAATTAATATGTAATACGTTCGGTTAACATCTTTTACTTAACATTTAAAGCAAAAAAGAATTGAATTGAATTATATATGCTTTTGATTATTAAAGTGAATATAATTTAAGTCTTAGAACAATCTATTTTGTACAATTTATATAAAATATATTAAATTATACATCTTTATAGAAATTTGGTAAAATTCCGTAATAAAATAAATTATGTTAAAAAACATAATTCTTTCTTTAACATTATTAATAAATAGCTCTAATTTCTATTAAATAGTAATATCATTATTAGTTATAGAATAATTATGTCTTTCTATACATTATGTAATACTATACATATCTAAAATAAAACTATATTCTAACAGCACTATTTTAAGATTTACAATTATTTCGATAAATAAAAACGTGACGATATAGTTGAGTTCAATTATTTGTTGCCTTAAATATTACGAGAAAAAACGTTAATCATGACATTTATCATTTTTCATTAAGATATGCGACAAATTATTATTTGAATTTATTCCCTACACATACTGGTAAATATCTTTTAAGATAATAGTAATGAAAAATATTCACATTAATATTTAAATCTTTGTAAATAATAATTAGATAAAAAATATATATGCCATAAACTTTTTGTTATGCAACTGAATAATTTTCATTTTTTTTTCACATTTTGAATTTGCAAGTTGAAAAGATAATATAACGTATACACACTTAAACTGAACAGCCATATGCTTATCAAAATAATCAGTTATTAAACTTTATAAAAATAAATTTTAATAAAAATTTATTCTGTCAATAATTAATTTATAAAAAAGAAAATATAAATACTTTGTAAATAAAAAATAAAAGTATGTGATTTATTAAAAACTCTATTTATTAATTTATGTCCACTGAGAATGTTGGTGCATCATTCAATGACAATTCTGTACAACCCACATCTAAAAGTGGAAGATCCATTCGTTTGCGTTTTCGTTCACATTTTGGACACGGTTTATTAGCATTTAAACACTCTGCATGAAATACCGCATTACAGGCTCCACACTAAAATCATATAATATCTAATAAATTTAGTTAAACTAAATTTTTTGTTAATTTTATAAAAATTTTTACTTACTCTGTATGTAGATTCCATATCAAAGGGATAAATAACTTTTGGACTATTGCAAATTTCACATATAAAACCTTTCTGACTACAAAGCCAACAATTTATAACATGATTTCTTGCAAATTCTACCACTTTCTGTAGATGTTGTGTAAGAATTCCATTAGATATATCATAAAGGTCAGAAACAGAATATTGGTGAACATGTTCATATAAATAATCTTTAGGTGTAACCTTTTTCTGTAAGGATTCGATTATAGGCTCACGACACGTAAATAAATAAGCTCTCAGTAAATTTAATTGAATTCTTAATGATTGTAATTGAGCCATACTATCTACAGCCATATAAATTCGTGGGTTTAAAACTTTAAGATCTAGTAATTTAGGGCAATCCTGTAAATATGCTGCAGCCTTATTACAAACTGAGTAACATTTTAAATCCCAATTATAAATTACTCGTGATGGAATAAGATATACATTTTGTGACATACAGTTTGAACAGTAATAGTTACAAGAGAAGGAGCAAACATGTGCTTTCGAAAAAGTCATACCAATTGCATGACCACATTCAAAGCAACTATAATTTTGTACATCTAAACCTTTTTCTCTGGGAAGCTTTCCCAATTGTTCGTCAAAGTTTATTGCAGCCTACAAAAATAAAAAATATACATTATACTTTATATTACACATGTATTATATACTATTTAAAATCTTTAAAATTAAAATAAAATGAACTGCAAATGAGTTATTATTACCTTATTTTCTGATTGAACTTTGATTCCATCATTAGATTGTTTTCTTGGATATTTTTTTAAAAATTCTTGTAAATCTGGAACTGATTTATTTCCAACATTATAACTTTGAATAATAGCATCATATGTAGGTCCATCACCAGGAGTACGAGGTGCATTTGTTCCATCATCATGAGACATTACAGATGAAGTTAATGAAGATTCACAGTCTTCAAATGATGTAGACCATCCCAATCTTCCAATCAATGAATTCCCTACTGTAGTTGTAACAATATCTTGTGAAGTTTCATGATTATCTACAATATTTTCAGATGTTGAATTCTTAACATTATTGCACATATTAATTTCAGGGTCAGACTTTGGGCTGTCATTACTTGAATTTCTGTCTTCTATTTTTTCTTCTATCTGTAAATCTTGTCCTTCCTCTTTTAAAGATGCAATTTCTTTTGAATTATTAGTCGAATTATTTATACCAATGTTATCTGATTTCTTATTAGCTAATATAATTTTTAAAGCTTCATCCTCTGTGATACAAGCCATATTGTTAAGAGCAGACTGCGATGAATTAAATGAACCTAAACTACCAATAGAACTAGCAGTTTCAACTTCATCAAAATTGTCACCATCAGTTAATTCTGTTGTTATTGTTTTTGCAATATCTACTGCACTAAATACAGGACAAGATTTCATTGGAGGTGACCATATACCAGCTAATAAGAGAGGAGTATTTGACCAAGAATTTAATAAGCTACTATTGCATGCAAGTTTAAAACATATGTTGTCTAAACTTTCAATTAGCCTCTGTGCAACTTCCACAAGGTCTGTATCTCTAATAAATGCAGACCGATTATAATATGGTTTTAAAGCTGAATTATCTCTTTTAATGGAGCACAAGTAGCTAGCTAAAAGACCTTCGTTCAGAGCCAATCGTATCCAAGCTCTGCAATATCCAACTTCTGTAGTAAGTTGACTTAACGTTTGTATCTGATCTATGATTTGTCGATGAGAAAATACCAATAGTGGACCCCAAAAACTCGGCTGCGGTACCGCGTTGAAATCTGGACCACTCAGAACTTCTGTTACGCGATTCAAGAGACTGTCTTTTAAGCCATGTAGGAACACAGCTTCCAAAACAAAACATAAGGTCATACTTTCGTCGCAGTTGCCAACTGTATTGTTTTCCTCCACTCCAGGTGCACTTTGCATTTCCATCACGCTGATGTTTAACTGCCTTTGCAACGAATCTCTGATTAATACAACTCTCTTGTTTGGATTGACCGTTTTCAAAAACGAATTCATCTTTTCGAATTTGATGTTCTCCAAATGCAGAAGTTGCGTTATTATGGCTTCTTCTTTCAAGCATCTTTGTAATTGTAATAGGGAAAGTTACCTAAATTTCAGAAGGTAACTCGACGAAATCACTAACTGTCGTAATGAGACGTAGTAGATATTACGTAAATTATGTTGGTATAATTCAAACATTACGCCGATACTGACAACGAAACAAGGAAGTACGGTCAGAAGAAATACAAATCGCAACGTGATATGGAAAGCACGCGAACTTCGAACCAGTAAAAACGCATATCAGCCTTATCTCTCTTGATAAATGTGTACTTAAGAAATAGGTTACATCATACAAAAACAAACTACACAGCTTTATTTGTTGGACATTCAACTTGAGAATTTGCAGCCATTATTTTCAACTAATAAGTAGTGTCTTTTAATGATAGTTTAATGTTAATGATAGTGATAACTCTAATTTCTGACACTTAACACATTTCTTCGTTGTTCTTTCACACAGATTATGAATCAGCAACATTTCCGTCAGTTCGAACCTTTCTTTGATAATAGTACATATCAAAACGATAGATCGCGCTGTGATATACCTACATCAATGCACGCTGTATTAGCTATGGTATTAGTGAATAGTGACATTTATTAACATCTGAGAATGCGTTTTTACAATTCTGATGTAAAGCATTTTCCAATATAAAAAAACTCCTTGATGTAAGATTAAAAATGGAAATTCAGTATTTTTAATGTCAGTGTGAATTGACGACGAATAATTTTCATTTTAATTTAAATTCTATTTAACTTTTAATTAACTAATTCTATTTAACTTTAATTAACTAATTAATTATTTTTATTAATGAAACTAATTCTATCTTTAAAATCATTATTTTGCGTATATTGGAATTATTTTATTAATCACAAATATGTCATTCTAAATTTTGAAATTTTTAATTATGTAATTGAAACATGTATTTTCATACAGAGTTAAGACTAGAATCGCTTTCTCATGTATAAATTTATATATTTTTCATATAGTAATTTTTGACTCTCAGAATTTTTCAACCAATGAAATGTGTTGAGATAAATATATATAGAAAAAATTAAGATGTTTAAAATACCATTATTATAAATTTATTCAACAATAAAATTTAATCAGTAAATGTATTAGATTGTAAATGATATAAAATGTTATGTTGATTTCATAAGCGCATAGAATTCAGAATTTAGAGATTGAAAATGTTGTTGTTGAATAAAATTTATTAAACGATTTCAAGCTTGACACTTGGCAAATTTAACATACTCGGTATTTTAAAAATGAGATAATCAATCAATTATAAATCAACTATGAATGATCATTAATTGTAGTGAATTTCTCTAGAGAATTTAGAAATTTTCGAAAGAAAATTCTCGAAGAGTTATATTAAGAGAACAAACAATCTGTTATTTAATTAGAAATTAGGTTAGAAAATACAAATGTCTGGACCATAAAATGGATCATAAAATTCTCAACTATGATAGACTAAAAATAAATTTTAATTATAGTAATTATAAAATTGTTTTAACATGGTTAAAATATATCAACTCTGCTGAATTGAAACTTGATTATTATTTTAAAAAAAGCTACAAATACTGAAACTTATTATAAATTTCGCCATTTAATTTGCAACAACTTAATTGTTAATAAATATTTAATTTGTTTTATTTCCACACAATATATTTTATTTATCTAATACAAAGAAATAATTGATTTACAATTAAAATTTTCGTTTTATGTATATTTTTTAATTAACATAATGAGAAAGAGTAAAAATAAAATTTATTATTAAAATATTTTAATAATTACATCAGTATATATATAACTATATGTAATGATTGAATTTTGCAACATCATTTAAATTTTTAAAAGATTTGACATTCTTCTGAATACTTCTCAAAGTTAAAATTAAAGGAATGAGAAATTAAAATAAAAAAGTAGAAAATGGAAGTATATATGATATTTTCAATTGTCGGCCAGTTTTAATATGAGATTCTTACGATTATAATAAATTAGGTCAAGGAGGCAATGAAAAAATTGCTTTAATCAAAAATTCCATGAGGAATTATAAAATTGTAAAGACTGGTACATCGTCTTATTGGTAATTATTTACATGTTTATATATACATATCTGCGGTCATGAACTGAAAATTTTACTTTTGATTAATTAAATGATACAATGATGCTAGGTGTAACGTGATCTGAATTCTGTCAGCTGATTCCAGTAAAGATTCGAACGATTAAGATTGTAAATTGTCATGCGTTGATATGTTGTGCTCCTAAAACTTCTAGTCACTCTGCTGGATTGCCAAAAACTGCAGGCTGCTAATTGGACCCAGATGTATATTAAAGCAAGGTCAGTTCCGTAAGGTCATATTTGTTTACACTATGGATTTACTGCTCAGAGATGAATCCCTCATATTGTTTCATGCGTTGTTATGTTCGTATGACTGTATAGCTAAGCCCAGATGGACACGTCTCTATGCCTACCTCTTAGCGTTTTGAACCTTGGAATTGGTAGTCAGGTATGATACAATAATAAAATAAAAGGTAACGGAAGACATGAAGTATAATCGCGGGAAGTCCCTGCCATAGAGAAAATTATAAATTAGAAAGTTACTATCCCTGGCTCGATGAATTTGTCTTTCGCGTTACAGTTTTTATCCCTATTGTGTTCAGCAAGACTGAATATTAAGTATGATATAAATACAAGTTACTTCATTGCAAAAGTGTAAAATTTTAAAATAAAATTAATTATTTTATGTTTTTAAATATTTAGAAAAATTAAATATTTTATAGATGTATTATTTAAAAAAACGTACGGATTTTGTAATTTAACTGCTATATTTGATTTGATAAGTTATGTTTATATACATAAATAGATGCAGTGAGAGACAAAACTATTTGTATAATACAGAAATTAAAAGGAAAATATTTTGTGTATTATTAAACATATTCGATTGTATGAAATTCTGTATTATACATGGATATTTATAGTAACAAATATACAGAAATAAATATTAATCAAATTGTGTATTTAAGGACTATTTCTAATTTATCGGATATGAATGATGATGAAATTTTAATGAAATCAGTTTCTGTTTTGCCAGTTTTTTAAAAAATTTGTTTATCTATGAATATTTATTTATTTTTTTTTGTTTAACATAATTATATATGTATAATTAATAATATAGAAAATATTTCTCTTTTTACTTCTCTATAGTAAATGAACAATATATGTATATATTTATAATGTGTATGTATATATATATATTTGTTTTTCATACTATATGTACCATATGTGTGTACATGTGTGTGTACCATATGTATATCACGCTATATCATGTTCACATTTATTAAAATTACTTGCGATAAATTCGCGAATTGCTCGTATACTGATTATAGGAAAAAATAATATGTTCACACTGGAATCGAGTACAAGCAAGCCTGGTTGCGAATAAGTCCCCTTTGATATACCGCCTGATAATTTATAATTAACGAACAGTGTTCGATGTTGTGAATTACTCGCGAACACTAGTATGGATACAATATTGTACATTTCCTGTTACGTTGAGCTAAACATTTGTAACTATCTTAAGATTAAAAATAATTTAAATAATGCTACTTTATTTCTACATATGTATATGTCACAAATTTGAAAAATTTATTCTATCTAATTTTATCTAAATAAATTCTTTTTATTTAATTTTAAATTATGAATAAATAAAAAGAAATTATTAATCACATATCGTTTTTGCATTAATTGTGCCCATGTATAATCAATCAAAAATTACATACTTAAATATAAGATATAAATTTAAATTTTCGAAGTAAAATTATAGTTTTAAAACGTGTTTCCAATTTCAATTAAGGTTTAAATTAATAATATGATAGAGTAATAGAAATTGGAAAATAAATATAACAAACAGAAAATGTAAGAAATAAAATTATTAAATATGACATATTTCTTTTACCGAGTTTTCATATATTCATAGAAATAATTAAATTAATTGAATGTATGTAAAAATGGCTTCGTTGAAAGAACGTTATCAAAGTTTGATTATACTGATTGCTGTATTTTATCTTTGAAATCAATTTTTTGAATTATCAAGTTGCTTTAGATTCTATAAGCAAGTTTTTCTTGCTATACCGTTGCTATATTTAGATATGCACTTAGCGCATCTCAAATGTTGGAACAGGTATACCTTGTGTGAATGACCGAATACGCATGATGAGACGATGCGTGTTCTTCGTTTGACGGCAGTAGAGTTTCTGGTATAGTAAGGAAGACAGATAGAGAAGAGACAACAGAAATGAACAGGTGGAAAGAAGTAGGCAGATTGAACACGAGGACAACGAAGTAAATAGTAGATTCAGGGCCGTAACGTTCTATCTATTATATCCTATTACGATTTATAAATTTTTATGTTGAATCTTATCCTTAGCATTATAATTAGTTGCTCATTAAAGAACTCTTAACGTTTTGAATGTATGTACATAGAGCGCGGTGCTTTCAAATATGTATGTATTAATAGCTAATGTTTAATACTTTTCTGTATAATATTTCGAGAAAACATAGGAAACTATATGATAATATAAAATATCATAAGAATGCATGTACATATGTATATATGTATATTTAAAATTTAAAGAACTTCCGTTCTACAAGGAACAGTATCATGATATTCGCGTTTCCTTTCTATACGACATAAGAAACAATGCATTTTCTCACGATTTACTGCTGCGTAGGAGCCTTATAGCGTTTTATCAGAATATACATAAAGCTAGCAGAATAAACGCAGAAAAAAGTACGTTCATAGCTTCTTGTATTATTGAAATGTTATATTTGTTATACACATAATTTCGAAGCATTACGAAAAAATTTGTTTGCTTGGAGGCAAATTTTCATATACAATATTTCGTTATTGTAATGTAATGTAGTTGAGCCACTTATGAGCAATTCAAATGTTAATTTCTTTTTAATAATCTTCTCACAATTTCTTTTTTCCTTCAAATTACTTCCCGATACTTTATTTTTATTTATCATTAAAAAATTTATTATTTCTAAAAATAATATATTTAAAAAATATATATTTCTTATTGATAATAAGTTGCAAACTGAAAAGTTCCGTTCGTAATAAATTGAAGAGATTTTGCAAAGCACGGACGAAGCAGAGGAATCTATAAAGATTACATTACTACAGCATGCTGGAAGAAAATGTCAAAGTTACGTCGGTTTTATCGACGGCACTGAGGAGAGCTCAAGTGGTGGAAGCGATGGCGGGGATAGAGACTGAGGGTGTCGGGTCGTCCGGTTGGTGTGCGCGGAACAGTGACGATTCGACTGGTTCAGTCGCTGGTTTGTGAAATCGTTATTACTCCGTCGATGCGAGGAAACGCGCGTGCGTTTTGCCCTAACAGCAACGTTACATAGTTACACGCGCTTTCGAATGTCGCTCGAGAACGCATTTAGGAGTTGTGGAAAGATTCGCTTTTATAACAACAGATAAATTATTTCACAGCGTGTTTGATGTCGCGACGCCGTTATCGAACAACCTCCGAGCGCACATGTATCATGGATGTCAAGGAGTAGGCGTCGTCCGTGTTAAATGCCAAAATCAAATATAACATGACATCGAATATAACATGATCGGAACGACAGAACGTACTGATATCATAGTGTATAAGTTAACGGAAAAACGCGTTGTGGCAGCAGCAGCAGCAGTAGCTGAAGGAAAAGAAGAAGAAGAGGAAGAAGAAGAAGAAAGAAGGAAGATTACGTTATTCAGGTTGCACTAAATAATTGATCCCCGACTGATCTCCAAAGAAAAGCAAAAATTGCTGAAAAGCCGTAGGTATTGTTGAATGAATACGAGAACAAATTGGAAATGTTACCTTCGAACACGCTCGAGATGGAAATCGGGAGTTCATCGCCTCCGAGGGGATACGAAACGAGCAGTAAAAGCCTTCTCCTGGAGACGATGCATACCGGTGAGTTGCATGCCGAAACAGCAGCTTGTCGTTTCTCAGAGACGGAGGTCGTTGCTCGATGTCAGAAGGGAAGCAACGAAACGACTAAAACCGCTCCCGGGTCTGAGCGTTCAAAAAAGATGATCGAATCAGCTGGCAGCAAGTCCGTGAACGATCGACCGCGTCAGAGCTTCTCCAAGGTATCCGCGTCCCTACAGAGCCTCGTTCGTCGAAAAAGCCGAAAATACGGCGGATCCTCGTTGCCCTTGGACGTAGATCTTTCGACAAATTCTGCACACCCAAGTTGCCTCCTTGAGCTACCTAGGGAAAATGGTGTCGTCAGCATTTACAATAAAAACGAGGAGGAGACCACTTGTATGAGCACGCGTACATCGACGCTTATTTACGCTTCCTCTGTGCAATTATACTCTAGAGGTGACAATAACAACGCGCAGAACGTTTCCTCGTCGACGAATAATATCGCGACTGTTACCACAACCACCACCAGTACCAATAACATAACTTCTTCGGTCAGCGGAAGCCGTTTCGGTAATACCGCCTTGTCTTTGATAAGGACTACCAGTGTGATTATGGCGGGACCATCCACGTCTTCCTGGAACAATTCCGCGGAGGAGGAATTAGATTACATCGTTGATCCAGTTCAAGGAAATGCCTATTACAAGGGACAGCTTCTCGGCAAGGTAAAAATCTCATGTACAGTTTCAGAGCAAAGCCGAACATGCATATGGAATTTTAAAACGAATGATATTTTATCGAGTGTTTGCACGTAGAATAAAAAAAAAGTATGTAGAGTTTTGTAGGATGTTTTGTTTTTTCTAAAAAAACGTTTCACTGTTTGAATTATTTTCGTATCCATTGTTTTGCACCGCGATCAATTTAAACGATACATCGTTCTACGTATTTTAAACTGTTACAACTACGTAAAAAAAAGAATCATTTAACAATTTACTTAGTCTCGTTTTAAAGCGTGAAGCTTTCATATTGACTGCCCTGAATCCGTTTTTTTTTCTCAAAATATTTTAACATTACGTAACGAATGAAAAAAAAAATTTGTAAAAATTCACACATATGTGAAAACATTGAAAAATTTTATTTATAACTAAATCACGGTCTTGAAGATTGAAGTTTTCCTCCTACAACGACCTTTTAAGGGGGTATTCTAATGTGAACTTTTGAAAAAAATCGATTTTTTTCTTTTGCATATTCTTAAAGAAAATAGTTTCAAAAATAAATCGCTGTAACCTTACATGTGGACTCCTAAAATTAACGAAGTTATGGTTGTTTGAAGGACGCGACGTCATTGTTACCGTAATACTAAACTTTAAAAGCTTTTTCTGGAAACTATGTTTGTCAGAACGATGTCCATGATATCTCAAAATCTACTTGACGCAAAATTTTAAGTACATGTGTGACTATAGCTTCTATCAGAATCAATAAAAAAATTTTATTTTTTATATTTTTTTAGGCTTCCGAAGTTTAACAAAAACATGCAAAAATCGATAATCGAACTTTGAAAAGTATCGCCACTTTTTTAATTACCGACTTTTTCCTTTTGTTTTGGTACCTGCTATAGCCAAACTCATACTAATTAAGGAACATTCACGTTTTTTTTATTTCCGACAAGCAGAATGGCCGGAATCATGGACACCGTGAGACGACCTTTTTTTAAAAGTGACTATGTTTGAGAGTATGCAGTGCCACTAATTTTAACTTTTTTTGTCCCAAAATATTTTAAAACGTCGTTGAAATACGTACAAATAAACCTTGTCAATTTGACTGCAAAAAGTATAATAGTTTCTTTGCAAAAAGTTCCATAACAAAGTTAAAAAAACACGCACTTTACACTAGAATACCTTAAAACTTATATGATTTTTTTTCTGTTATTTTATTGAACTTTGAACGTTAGAGTTAAATGAGTTAAAATTTAAGAAATCCTTGTATTTCGTCATTAACTTTAATGTTGAAAATTCAATAAAATGGCTAAAAAAAAATCGTACAGCAAATTTTAAATGGTCGTTATAACAAGAAAATTTGTTTTCAAGATTATAGTGACTTGACTTACGAAAAAAATTTCTTATATTTTTACACGCGTTTTTACGATTTTTGAGAGAAAAGTAGCCTTACTTTCCCACTCATTAAATATAAGAATGTCTTTGGAAAAAACGAACTTATATCAAAGTAAAAGCTTTATATTTTAAAATGAAACTAAGCAGATTGTTGTATGATTTCCTTTTACGAAGTTCGAAGTACCGACAATTTTTCATCATTATGTGTTCAATTATACTTCTTACTTAAATGAAAGGTAAATACTTATTGGTTTCTTCCTTACTCTTAATTTACCTGAGGTTTCCGGATTTTTAAAGATTTAATATCTAACTTTCACATAATACTTCAAACTTTATTTCAAATGTACAGTAAATCCTTTCAATATTCGGACACTAAATGTTGAAACTGTTAAAATTTTGTAAAAAAAAAATCGTACAATAGTAAACTTGGACTTATTTTAAGGATTAAAACTTATACTTTTAAAACGCATCGTTCATTTTATTTTAAAATGTTTTTACGTTAACAGATAGCAAAGTGAAGACATTTTTTTTCTCGAAAATTCTAAATTATCGTAGTATATAAAAACATTGAAAAATTTTTTTCATAATTGAATGTACAACGGATTTAAAGATTAAAGCCTCTTCTTTACAACGATTATTTAAAATTTGCTGTATAATTTTTTTTCTCGCCAATTTATTGAACTTTGAATATCAGATAAAAACAAATATAACGACCAAAATGTTATAATTTTTTGAATTTTCGTTATCTAATAATCAATATTTAAAATTCAATAGAATGGGAAAAAGAAATCAAGTTTCCGAACAAAAATTGTTGTAAAGAAAAGCTTCAATCTTCAAATTCATGTATGAAAAAAATTTTCCAATGTTTTACATATTAGTAATTTAGTAATTTATAACATTTTCGAGAAGAAAACATGTGACATAAAAACATTTTAGAATAAAATGAAAAAGCTTTAAACTTTAAAATAAGCCTAAATTTATTATTGTGCTATTCGTTTTTACAAAATTATAATAGTTTCAATATTTAGTATCCAAATATTAATCATTGTAATTCACTGTAATTTATCTGTTATTTGCAAAACTTACTTTTTTGTTTTTTTCATTTTTCTAAAATTGTATATTAGAAATGTATTGTAATAAAAAAAATGTTTCAATGATAAATCTGAATAAAGGGTTTACACGGAATATTTTTATTATTTCTATTAGTCTTTATCTATATAATTTTCTATTAGTCTTTATCTATATAAATTTCTATTAGTAACATTTGTCATAAGTTGTAATTCATGAAATAATAGAATTAACATTTGTACATTACATTTTGTAACAGGAGATTAAAAATGATTGAAAATGTAAAATCTTTACGTACTATTAATACTATATTTTTACGTACTATAGTCTTAATTATATAAAAAAATTAATTATATAAAAATAATGATAGATAAATTTTTTATCGTAAATATTCTAATATCTTATCAATTAAATATCTCAATATAAAGTGATTACAAGAATCCAATCAGGTATGTATTATAGATTTCGAAAGTTTATGAAGTTTTGAATTTTATAAAATGCAATTGTATATATTTTTAAAAATATAGAATTAAATACAGAATTATAATTTTTTTATACAATTAATTTTATACAATTAAATTCTATGAATAAAAAGTATAAAACATCATTGAAAATTTAGTATTTTAAAAAGTATTTTATTCTTTACCAATGTTATTTCCTTTTTGTTTTGTCAGTGGATATGTAATAAGATTTATGTAAGGAGCAACAACTTCACGGAAACATATTTTTAGATAACAAACGTAAAATATGTTAATATGAATATCAAATAAAACGTATATTTTAGTTACATTTATTTCATTGCATTTATTTTATTCATGATTCAAATTTGTTTCCATTGAAACAGAATGTTAATTAATAATAAAATATTTATAAAAATTACAGAGATGCGAATAAAATGTTATTTAACAATTAATTGATTCAACATTGCAATATATTACAATCTTACTTATTTATATAAATGAATTTATTCGTTTTATAAACTTTGTTGTAAAAACTGTTAATATTGCTAATATAAATAATCGCATTTGTCAGTTTTTCTTACTACTTCTTTTATTATGTTTATTTTCTTATTTTTTAAATTTAATTTTAAATTAAATTCTATCAAATTGCTCAATATTTAATAATTCTTTTAATTATCAATTATAATAATCAATGCATTTTTATAGTTTATAAATTGTTTATATATGCTACCATCATAATATATTGGATATCTAGAGTTTAATTAATTAACTATGATAGTACATACAAAAGTATTGCATCATCATTATAAAATGATGAGACTAAATTATTTCAATAATATTTTCAAAAAAAGAGCGACAAGAAAGTCACATAAAATTTTGTAATATAATTTGTGAAATAACGAATACACGAATAAATTACATGTAATATCTTTACATTTTTTAAAAATATACTTGTATATATGAAAGATTTCTAAGAATATATAAGTGTATGTATAAAAAATAGTATAATTGAACTAATAAAGATGAAAAATTGAAATAATATTTTAAACTATCACAACTTTCGGATAACAATTCATTTATAATCTCATTTTAAAGTGTAAAGCCTTTACTTTGATATCTCTAAGTTTGTTTTTTTCAAAAATTTACTTTAATTTTACTTTAATTTTAAAAATCTAACGCATGAAAAAACAAGGACAATATGAATACAAAAATACTACTCCTTTGTTGTCTTTCATACGATAAATTTAAAAAACTTAAAATATTTAGAATCTTCCTTACATTAATAATTTTTTGATTGTACATCGGCTAATACTTTTTTTTTTTAGAAACAATATCGAGCGATACTCAACTAATGCATTAGAAAATATATGATTCCATTTTAAAAAATCAAGTTGATCTTCCTCTCTGTCTCCACGTACGAAACAAGTTATTCACATCAAATAATGTGCCCCCTGAAATCATTTAACTTTCATTTGATATATTTTTTCGTATTATCAACAGTTTTGAAGATATTCGAGTGAGTCGATGTAAATGAGTCACCCTATATATAAATTGACATAAAAATGTTGGAAAAAATTAGTGTTGTTAGTAAATAATTGTTTCATGCGCAGAAATATTGCAAACTTTAACAATTACTCTTGTTTATCACTAGAACTATTGACAAAATATAAAATTTGTAGCAAGTTAAAGAGTAAGGAACAAAAAGGATTTACGATAAAGAACACAAGTTTCTACTTATATACATATTTTACTAAAAATCACTCAAGTGTCTAAAAATACACTGTTATTTACGTTATTTACGCTATTTATTTCAATTCTATGATTAATATTATATTCAACGTATTCTATGATAATATAAATGTATAATTTATAATATATATATATTTTATACAAATATATTTTAATTTTTATTTTTATTTGCTTCGGGTTTATTTTTGGAATTTTTGTTTAGTTAACAATTACAATTAATTTTGTTACTTGACAATTTACATTGAAGAAACAGAAAATACGTAAAATGGCCTCGTTCAAATCTAATATCTAAATATTATCATGATTATTTCAGAGACTATAATATTTCTACTTAAC